TGGACCTACAGCTACAACACAGCAACCAAAACATTCCTGCTAGTTTATCCAGTACAGTCCACGGGGGACAGTTACCTGTAATATCTTTGCCAGACCTGGCACTGGCATGAAATTGACATGTATACACTAATCTAAATGGGTCAAAAGACACAAACTGGCCTCACTATCCCCTTTTCTCATCTCTAGAATTCCCTTCTTCCCTATCCTTACGTATTCCATAAGCCTTTTGGCTATAGAAAGGCCTACATAGAACTGCCTTCTTCCCACTAGAATCATACCCAGTAAAATAAATTTATCTTTCTTTTGCACAGTATCAAACTTTCATTTTTCCTGCCCACAAGTTAAAAAAGAAAATCCGGTAAAAGCAATCTAATAAAACTAATCTGGCTAACATAAAAAGCACGTTATGGAAATTTTATAGGGAAAGACACACATAATCCAATGGCAAACACTGGTAGCATTTTGGTATCTTATTCACAATTTTTTAAAAGCAGCATTGTCTTTTATTTTCCCTTTAAAAAACAGAAGTGATACAAAAAAGAATTCAGTGTAGTATCAACTGTATTGAATAACTCAACTGAATATCATAGTATTTTAGGCAATGTGATGAAATGAAGATTTAGAGGCAGCATGGGAACTGCCTCTTCCCCATCCCTCTGAATAAATCTTCCTTTTTTTTTGCTTGTTTCTGTGGGGTGAGGAAAGTGCTATTACAGAATCCCTTAAAACAATAATGAATTGCCATTTACACGACTCTGATCAGTGCTTGGTCACCCTCTCCTAGAATCAAAATCAAGAATAATCCTGGCAAATAACTTGAATGATGGCCAATCTCTGCAGTTAAACACACACACATACACACACCCCTTGAAATCCAAAAAACTTTTGGCTCACTAATCATTTTATGTTTCAATTTACTGCCTCACCTAAAACATCTGGCAAGTGAACAGCAAAGTGTGAAATTTTATCTTCCTCACCAATTTAGTGAAGTGAGAACACTTCCTATTCTGCCCATAGTCCAACACCACCCTCTTTGTTCTGGTTTTTGGAAGGATGTAAATTAGGCATTCATCACTATAATAAGTCTTTAATAGAAGAGAATCTCTCTACAAAGGATAATTCCTTTTTTATATATTTAATATCACAGACTCAGATCATTCTAAGATTTTAAACAAAGTTTACATCAAGTCTTCTTAGATGCTAGTAGGGTACAGTGGTACAGTGATAAGAACAAAGGTTTCTGAGTCAGCAGACCTGGGATCCAAGTTTTGTTTCTGTCACTTTTCTTATGACCAGGCACTGAATTTCTTTTGTGCCTCATTTAATTTAGGAAAGGGGTGTGTTCCTCTCTACCTTACAGGACTCTTATAAGAATTATGCATAATGACTTATATAAAAGCACATGGTCAAGTGAAAGAAATATCTTTACACAATTGCTAGTAATTATTAATACAGTAGATTTCCTCCCTCTCCAAAAAGACTACTCTTATATTTTATTTCTTCTGATCAGAACAGGCGAGGCCAATGGACCAAAATGGGCAATCTTCCTGGGCCAGAGCAGGTGGCCCCAAGGTGTAGACCCTGTGCAATCTCAGGAGGGAAGGCAGCCTGATTGGGGTGGCAGTATGTGTAGAGATCTTAGAAGTTCTGTGAAGTTCAAGTCTGCCATGATTTGAATCTAAACACTAAGATTCCACGTTAAAATAGGTCATTTAAAATTAAGTTCTACTTTCAGTCAATCCACTGTTTAATTCTTCAAATCTTGAAAATCTGAGTCAGTTAGCTAGAATAAGAAATGAAAGGCATGGCAGATAAGGCAAAATGAGACAAAAAGAGACTATCACCATCATCAAAAGATAAGGAAGCACAGAGCTTGGGCAGATATGTAAATTAAAAAACTATTGGGATTGACAAGAAGTGGCAGAAAAGTGGAAATATTATATTGAAAGAAAAGGAAACAGAGAGCAATGCTAACCTTAAGAGATGAGATAGGCCTGGAGAACTCTGTGGCAGGCAGAAAGGGATGCTAAAATAATAAAACATGCCACAAAGCACAATATACAATACTAACGAAAGAAATCCTTTAACTGAACACAAAGTGGCTTTTCACTACTGTTGAAACTTTAGCGGGTAGATAAGTGAAGTCATTTCAAGGGATTTTTAAAAGGTTGCTTTCAGTGGTGGCAAAAGGCGAATATTCAAAATATTGTATTTAAGTGTAAGCACATTTCCAAAAGGAGCGTACGGTAGGTGACATATAAAATACCTCCTACCAAACCACCAAAGAGCCACTGATTTGTAGAAGACCCTAAGTATGTCACGTGCAGAAATGACCCCGAGAGTGGGCCGCGAGCACCGCGCCAACTTTCTCTTGTGGCAGTCCCCCAGGACAAAGCGCCCATCTCACTGTGGGTAAGGAGAGCAGCGCGACCCTGGCACGAAACAGAGGCTCAGCTAAAGCTCTCCTTCCCCAGCTCGGGCGTCCCACCCAGCCGCACTGACTCTCCTCCCCGGCCAGGTCCTCTACCACAAGTCTAGCCCCAGTCCCCTGAAGGCAGCCGTCCAGGTCCCAGCAGTCCTAGCTCTGTCTCGCAGGCCGCCGCCCCCAACGCGGAGCTTCATTCATTGACCCCGGCAGAGGGACAGGCAGGAGAGACCCAGCCCGAGCGAGGCGTGCGCGGGACTCGAGAAGGGGGCCCCGGGGCAGCTGCTTACTCTGGGTGTCCGTTAAGGAGATCATGGCTGCAGTGGTGAGGGCAGTGACGGCAGCACCTCAGAACGCCCAGGGTGGGAAGCTGAGTCGGGAGAAAAGAGACCGGGTAGAACCCAGGCGAGAGCCGCCACGTCTTCCGGAAACACGCAGCCACCCCACTCCCGCTTCAAGACCTCTTTCTATTGGCTAAACTAGCTCCCAATGTCAACCAATAACCCATAGTTTTATTCGATGACGCGCAAGGCGGCCACACCCCTTGACCAATTAGAGAAGGCCATTATTTGCCATTGGTTGAACGGACCGACCCGGAAGGGTGGATGCTCCTAGCTGGGTGGCGGGAACATTTTATTGGAGAGCGACGGATAGAGGTTCGTAGCGGTGCTGAGGCCGGGTGCTTTGGGGTTGGAGACCCGGGAGTTGGAGTGAGTTCTTTTCACCTGGTGGGGAGAGGTGCTAGGATAACGCCTGTTACGCCTTTGAAGGGCCAAGGGTACGCGCTCCTTTGATCTTTCTCTTTTCTGTCGGAGGGCGAGGCCATCTATCGCAGATCACTTCCTTCCACCGACGCTTTGGGAAGAAACGAGGGCGTTAATCACTGTTCTGCTGTCTTGAAGCTCGAGCTTTTAGGGGCATGTTCGTTTGCCGACCCGTCTCTTTTGCTCTCTCCAGGTTTTTCTATGCAGGAAGCTTGGCCACCAAACCTGTTTATTAGCAGCCACCATTTATTGAGAAATACCACTAGGGATGCTTCTTCCATCCCTCGCTTCACAGTAGCGTAATGGAGGGTATTAAGTTATTGTTGCCTCTAAATGCAGGTAGCAGGGAGAGGAGTGATGTGTGTCTGATTTAACCTGGGTTACCTCAGTGACATTTCCTCCAACATCAATGACTGGCTGTCACCCTGTGAATTTTTTTCCTGTGGATGCTTAATATACTTTTGAGTGATAGATTTGCAATAGCTCAATTTCTTAATGCATTTTATGTTGAAATATCTTTTGCTGTTAAATTACATCATGTAGGGAAGGAGCAGCCTTTTAACGGTATAATCAAAGAAATCATTTAAATTAGTGGGGGAAAATTTGATATAGCTTATATTCTTTCATAAGGGTAGATGACTGCTACTTTCAGTCTCAGCAAACCTGAGCCTGAAGTATGTGCAAGGGACTTTGCCAGGCTGTATGGATACAAATGTGAAGAAACTCAGCTTCTGCCCTGCTGGAGGACCTTACAGTCTATGGAAGGAATATTATTATATATTTCCACGACGTGGTGAAGGGATGTTTATGTAGATAAGGAATTAGAAGTCCTTGGTTTACTCCCCTACTTATCCATATTTTCATAGTATAGCTATTCCACACCCTTTAGCAAGGCAAAAAAGAGTCAGCCTGTCTTTCCAGCCTGGTGGTGGCTTCAGAATTTTATGTAAGAAGGGCATAAGGTCAGCAGTCCAAGTAAGGCAGGGTGGTGCTGAAGCTATCTTTGGGAGAGCATTCTAACTTAGTTTTAGAAAATGTTTGTCCATTTTAGAGAGTTGGAGGAGGTGTTTATAAGATTATGGGGAAATTAAAGGTCTCAAGCCTCATTTTCCCTTGCTCATATGCATGTTTATGTTTCAGTCATGCATAGGTACTTAGAGTTCCTTAATATGAACTGTGTTTCCCCTGCCCCCATCTCTAACCTTTCCATGTTCTCTCCTTCTGAAATCTAACCCTTCTATAGAATTCCAGCCTCTTTTAAGATTGAGTTTAAATTGTAGTTCTTTGAAGCAAGTGCTCAATAAAATGTTAGGTGATTAATTTGATTATTTATCATATGTTGATGTATTTTGCTTAATCTGGGACATTTGAAGCTATCCAACTTGTTATTTATAAGATTGGTTTTATCATCGCAGTTTTATAGGTTAGGAAAAGGGGCTTAGAGGAACAGGGTGTGTAACTTTGCTAATTTAACAATTTAGTCACGTAGTAATTCAGTGCTAGAACTGTTTAATCTTTGCTCTTTTTTGCTACATCACTTTGTATCTGTTGGATGTTTGCTAAGTGTTATTGTAGCTGTCATGTATATGTTTATGTGACTTTGGACACTTCTCTGAAATCTAGAGTTTTCCGTAAGAGTTAGTTTGGGAAGAACCATGTAGTCCTTATTCGGAAAGTTCACGGCAATATATAATTTGCTTTCTAACATTTTTCATGCTTAGTAGTAACAGGTTGTCATTGATTGAACATTATCAATAGCAGTGTTTAAAAAAATTGTTGCCATGGTTGTTCTTTTATTTTTAGAAAGAAATTTGGATCTCCAGTTCAATTTTAGAATGGCATCTGTTTCAGGTTAGTGGAAATGATTACATTTTGTTGTTCATTCTGTTCTATTTCTAATTGTATGTTCTTTGAAAAAAGTGTTTTAAAAATTCTTATTATAGAAATTATTTTTTTCAGTTTATTTTCTTTCTTTTACTAGTAACCAAAGTACATTCTGTCAGCTTTTTATAGTGTGGTAAAATATACATACAAAAATTTGCCATGTTAACTATTATTAAGTGAACAATTTATTGACATTAAATGCATTCACACTATTGGGCAACCATCACCACGTCTCCAGAACTTTTTCATCTATCTAAACTAAAATTCCATACCCATTAATTCATAGCTCTCCATTGCTTGCTTTCTCCTGACCTCTGATAGCTATTATTCTTTCTGTCTCTATGAATTTGACTGTTTTAGATACTTCATATAAGTGGAATCAAACAATATTTGCTCTTTTGTGTCTGGCTAATTTCATGTAGCACAATGTCTTCAAGGTTCATCCATTTTCTAAGATGTATCGGAACTTCAATCCTTTTTAAGGTTAATAATATTCCATCGTAAGTCTATACCACATTTTGTTTATCTATTTGTCTGTTGATGAATATTTGGATTTTTCCTCCTCTTGGCTGTTATGAATAATGCTGCTGTGATCACGTGTGTACAAATGTTGGTTTGAGTCCCTGCTTTCAATTCTTTTGGGTATATATTTAGCAGTGGAATTGGTGGATTATATGGTAACTCTATGTTCAATTTTTTTAGGAATTGCCAAACTTTTCCATGGTGGCTGCACCATTTACATTCCCACCAACAATACACAAGATTTTTAAAGAATGATATGAATCATTTTTGGTACATGTGATTTTACTTAATAAGACTTTAAGCTTTATCAGTGGGATGTGATTTAAAAATAACTGAATAATTTGATTATTTATTATATGTTGATGTATTTTGCTTAATCTGCGACACATAATGAAATAGATAATTTTATTTAAGAAAAGATGCTTACTTTGAATAACTGCCTTCGAAATATTGTGCCCTTTTCAAATATACCCACCTTTTTTGTTGTTCTAGTCACTTGTTGAACTATATTTGAAATACCTCTTTGAATTTGCCTTTGGTTTATTGCTTTGGATTTGGTGGCTTCTGTGGTGGCAAAGCACTTTCATTGTTAATTTCAGTTTTGACACATTGCTGGTCAATGTGCTGTTTCTGAAGAATGGTGGCTCCCGTGTGTCAGCTGTGAGCTTAGGAACATGAGTGTAATCCCCACTCAATTCAATACATTCTTGAGACAAAATAGAGTTGGTAAGCCCTGGGCACTTGTAGTCCCTCTCCATTATGGACTGGTGAAATCGTTCACTTGACTTTTCAATCTCACCTCCTGTAGCAAGGTCTTGTGTTGTACAGAGCAGCATTATAGATAGAATAATTTTGAACAAAAATGTTAAAACACCCTAATTTATTACAATGAGCTGTATTTTCTTATATTCTTAGACCATCAGGATTTTGTCTAAGATATGATGATGTTGACTATGTAGCATGGGTTGACATTAACCTTTATATCAGGTAGAATTTGATCACAGAAGCAGAAGCGCTATGACTGATACAAGGGGTTTACTATGGGAATTAAACCTATGTGGTGATGGGAAGTGGTTAAGCTCTGTCTCTGTGTATGTTGTCTGTGTGTCTGACACTGGGTCTGAAGTCGGCAGAGCAAGCAGGTGGGAAGAGAAGGACATGAATGAGGTAGGGCACGCAAAGACAAACTGCTCCCTGTGAAGATGAACTTCTGTTTCTCGCCAGAACCTGTATTAGCCTCTCATTGCCTCAAAGCCTCCAATTTTGATGCTGCAGGAGCCCTGTCAAAAGGCTGGTCTGCTTCACCGTTGAGTTGCATACAGTCTGGCTGAGGGTTCAGAGAAGCTGAAGGAGACCTGACAGGCTGCAGAGGAGCTGCATGCCATGCCGTTTCCCCAAAGTCATCTGGCAGCAGCTGGAGTTGTAAGTCCAGGTGCTGCCACATGCCACTGAAGTCACCAGCTCTGACCTTATACTGACCCTCTTAAATATGGAAAATATGGCTACTGCTTCATTTCTACCACTTAAATCTTTGGCAAAGTTCTCTTGTGCACTCTAACCTAGAACTATGCAGGGAAGGGAATTCTAGGAACTGTAGTTCTAGTCTAGCTATCACCGTACAGAACCACCAGACTCCACCCCTCGCCTTGTTGGCACCTATGTACTCCTTTTTAAATCATATTTAACTTCCAAATAAAGACAATTAGCAAAGTCATGCTTCTGCCTAACATGATGTAACTATTCCTCATATAACCAAGTATACACTGACCCTCTCCCCAAAAAAGAGGGTACAAATTCTCTTTATTCCTCTTTGGGTGATGCTCATTCCTCTTCATGCTGAATCGTGTCCTCTTTCATAATCCTGCAACATAGGAGAGGGACCAAACAAAAACAAAAACCCAAACTTGGTTTATATAGAAATATCAAAATAAGGAAGAAAGGCTTATAGCTGTTACAGTTTTTGTTTCTCAGCTGGTCATGTGGCCATGGCTGATATTTTGTAGCTACCTTCTTCAACTATCTATTCCATATCCCTTTGCTCTTGGTTGTCCTGGGTCTTTGCCTGGTGGGGACTTGCCTTAGCAGTTTGCTTTTGTTTGGTTATTGTCGTTTCCCATTAACTTTAATCACAGGACATGGGAATATTGAGAGGCACTCTAAAGTGTCCCTTACATTTCAGACATACTCCTTATTTCTGTAGTGTAGTAGCAATCCAATTTCCCCTTAATAGTCAGGATCACTCACCCCAGCCAGGACAGTGACCCTCTTCTTTGCCTATTTATTCACTGGCATGAGGAACCCAAAATGGCCAAGTGGCAGTCAACTTCCAGTTTAATGGAACCATTGCTTTCTCCCCTGGTGAAAGCATTTCTTTCTTGGTAACTAAGACCTCTAGACCAGCAGAGTCCAGTGTTTCAGGGATGGGAAGCAAAAACTTCACTAGTGGATCACTAGGGTAATAGTAAGAGGAGCCACTCCCATTTCCACCCCTGATTTCCTGTGAATCGTGGCTATGGGAGAAACAGCACTATTCACTGATGTGTAGCGTACCATATCCTGGAGGACACTACCCCAGCTTTTAAGGTGTTGCCACCCAGCTGGCACCATAATTGAGTCTTCAAAATGCCATTCCGTTGTTCTCTCAGGCCAGCTGCTTCATGGTGTTGGGAACGTAGTTAGACCAGCTAATTTCTTGGCGTGAGCCTTCTGTTGTACTTCGTCTGCTATAAATAAGTTCTTTGGTTAGAAGCAATTCGGTGGGGAATATGATGACAATTTGTAGGCATTCTGTAAATTCACAGATGGTGGATTTGGCAGAAATATTGCAGGCAGGGAAGGCAAATCCATATCCAAAGTAAGTGTCTATATCAGTGAGGACAAAGTGCTGCCTCTTTCATTGTAGAAGGTTCCAATGTAATCAGTTTGCCATCAAGCATCTGGCTGTCCCCCCAGAGAATGGTGCCACAATGGGGACTCGGTTGGTGTGAGCTGTTTGCAAGTTGGCCAGTCAGCTGTGTTTGTAGCCAGTTTGGTCTTAGTAAATGGCAATACATGTTGCTGCAACATAGGCACTTTGTTCTTGACCTCATTGTGCAAGGATAGACGTGGCTAGGAATGAGGCTGCCTCATGTCCAGGTCATCTTGTCTACCTGATTAAGATTTTCCTTTGTGGGGGTTGCTTTTAGTGAGAATTCACATGGGATACAAATATCTTCACACTCTGCCCATTCAGAGAGGTATATATCTGTTCTATATTGTATCTATATCTTCCTCAGATCTCATTGCAACCAATTTTCCAATTTTCTTTCTTCCAAGTTCCTGCTAATCCATTAGCCATTACCTATGAATTAGTGTGGATCTATACCTCTGGCAAAATGAATAACCACGTGTACTGCTTATCGGTGACCGGGAAAATTTTCCATCCCCAATGTTCTTAAGGGCTACTCTGGAGAGGTACTGTGGTGCTTTAATTGTTCACTTTTAGGTAGTACCAATATGTCATGGAGACTCTTTAGTTGTTCACTTTTAGGTAGTGCCAATATATCATAGAGACTCTTCTGTAAATTAGGTCTGCATTTTTTCTTTCTCAGTAATAGGGAATTTCCCGTGAGGTCATAGGTACAGGTTGAGGAGGAGGAAAGGAAGAGCATGGTGCATGAGTGTTTGGACCACTTGTTAATGCTTTTACTTAGAATCTGCTTGAGCTCACTTTTGCGTATACCACCTCTATTGTGATGATGAAAGTCTACTTTACGAATTGAAGGGTCAGATGATACCTGGTTGATGGTAGAAAGCACAGGTCACGTGGTAACTTAGTCTCTTGTGAGACCCAGGAGCAAGCCAGAGGTTGTTTCCAAAAAAAAAAAAGGATAATAGTTACCTGTAGAGAATCTGTAGAACATGGCATAGCTTTGCTCCAAAATCTTAATGGTCTGTGTTGTGACTCGTCTGTAGGCCAAAGGTGACATATAGCATTCCTATTCATCACAGACTTAAAGCACCATCAAATCTGTTGGGTCATATGGCTCAATGGTAAGAGAAGAGATTAAATGATGGTGTTCCCTCTTGTTCAGGGCCCTACTCAAAATGGGTAGGTTTTTGAGTTACTTGGTAAATGAGATACAAATCCAAACAGTCCCACTAGACTTTGTGCCTCTCACTTTGTAATAGGAGAGCCAGATGTAGAAACTTGCCCTTCAACTTAGAAGGGATATCTCAACATGCCCCACACCCTTTGACTCCTAGACGTTTTACCAAGGTGCCAGACCTCAGAATTTTTATGGGATTTATTTTCTATTCTCTGGCATGACCCTGCAAATTGCTTTCGATGGTCTTTACTGACAGGTATACAGATATAGAAAATAAAACATTCAACAGATCGATAGCCATATACCAGCTGCCAGGGAATGTGTTTGTTGTGTTCTATCCATGAAATCACATCTCGTACAGTAGCTGCTGTTGGAGCCACAATCTTATTAATTTTACCATAATCCATTCTTAGTCTCTAGAATCCATTGTCTTCTGTGTAGTCCACATAGGTAAATTAGGTAGGGATGTGGTAGGAGTCATTACCCCTGCATCTTTCAAGCCCTTGTTGTAGTCAGTAATCTCTGCTGGCTACAGTCCCTCCAGGAATGCAGTAATGCTTTTGGTTTACTGTATTGGTAGGTAAAGGCAGTTTTGCTGGCTTCCACTTGACCTTCCCCACCATAATAGTCCTTATTTATGGGCCAAGAGACCAATATGTGGTTTCTGCCACTTGCTAAATACATCTGTTCTAATTATACACTCCAGAACTGGGGAAATAACCACATAGTGGGTTAGAGGACCTACTGAGCCAACTGTATGTAGACTCAACCCAAAACTTCATTAATTACCTGACTTAAGTTCAGTTTATACTCTGACTGATGGATCACAATGGAATTTTGGTTCTCTAAGAATTAGCATCAGTTCAGAGCTAATGTCCAGTAATTTCCAATGCACCAGTTACCCTGTTAAATTTCTCTGTAGAAGACTAGTGGGAAGATTTACTACATATGTTTTTAGCTGTGTAGTAGAGTCCTTTCACAAGGGGCTTGACCTCTACTTAATTCAGAGGACTTTGGTTCTATAAATTGGCTCAATTCTGGAAATTGGTTGAAGGACTGTGACTCAGTTTTGTTGATTCAAAGCATACTTAATATTTACAAATTAAGTAATTATAGACAAATCAAGTAATCTGTTTCCATTTCAGGGGCATCATGATCAGCTAGCCAATGCCAAAGATCTCTGTGGATCAGAATATTCTGATTACTCTTCAGTTCTGTTGCCCTTTATGGCAACCACATCCACCTTGTCATAGGTCACGAACTGAATTGCCACGATTTAGCCCCCATACCTTGGAATCCATCATTCTCATTCAATTCTAGTCTAGTCCAGTCTAGTTGAATTCTAGTCCAGTTTGAAGGTGGTATTTCCCACTGTCATTCCTTGCTACCAGGAAGGGTCACCCCAGAGCTCTTCAGAGATGCTAGGACCCCCCCTCATGACTGTATTTCTCATAGTCTTGCTGAAGGGAGTGTCCTCCTGGAGGACAGCAAAGGAGTGGATGATCAATCCACCTGATGTTCCTCTCTAGCACTCCCATCTTCCTAAGCCTCTGGATACCTTCCTGTAGAGTATACCCAGGGAGTTCTAGCACTTCACCTTCATTGGAATCTACACCCGTGTCATTCTATCCCAATTTTCTGACATGTATCTTTGAGGCCAGGTTTCAGACAACCAACCAAGCAAATTCTTAGAGCCATTCCTGGCTACTATGTCTAGTACATTAAATCCAGAATTTCTTAGTGAGATGATATCAACACATGTAGCTTAATTCAATAGCTTAATTCAATATACTCAATCTACCCTGATCCAGTACCCTTAGGATCTATTCCCACATATATTCCCTAGGTTTCTGTTTATATATATTGGCAGATGCAACTCTTTTGGTGCGTATCACGTCTTCTCACAGGTCACGATTTTGTACTTCATTCTCTAGGGCTTCCTGGATCTGGAAGCACTGAAAGGGTGGTAGGGGCAGATTCTTAGAATTAGCAATCCCTAAAAGGCAACAAGGACCCTTATATGTATTTCAGGCAGGAGGAGATTGTCTCAGAAAGGGGACACAGGATAAAAAATTCTTGACAGTATTTCATAGTTCAAGGTTCCTTGCTCCATTGGAATCTATTCTTATGTTCCCATCCTAATTTCAGAGTTTCACTCCTTCCCTATCAGTGCTCTATCTTTAGCATTAGAATCCCTGCAAGGTTGAGAATTCAGTTTGCATTGTAATTCAGCCACCTGCAATATTTAGACTTAGGCTTGGTTTTCAGAAATATCAGCCTTGTAGGTATAGGAGATAAGGTTCTTTTAGAACAACTCTAGAAAGTTTGAGGTCCCTTAATGCAGATCCTGCCTTTCTCCCCTGCAAGTTTTCTGCATACTCAGAAGCCATTATTCTCATCATTCTCACTGAAATGTTTTGTAACAGCAAACTTTTGGTCACCCACAGTCTTGCTTTCTCTAATTACTTATTTACTGTGTCTATGAGTTATAATTTGAATAACATTTTAAAATTGCACTGCACGCCATGGAATAACTATGTCCCCTTTACCTGTGGAAGCAGGGTTATTAATGCCTTTGAATTTAATCAGATCAGAGATCCAATTCCAAGTGGCCCAGCAATTCAGAGAACCCATTAAATTTCTGTTCCTCTGGATCAAAATTCTGTATTGGTTAGGGTTCAACCAGATAAGCAGAACCAATATGAGTATGATAAGAGATTTATTATAGGGATTAGTGCTTATGTGATCATGGGTGCTGGTTAAGCAGCTGTCCCTGAGTCAGCTTCTGGTCTTGAAGTCAACAGCGCCAGTAGGAAGAAAGGAAGATGGGTGTGAAGTATGGGAAGGTAAGGATGAGCTGGGACCTGTGAGGATAAGCTGGAACTCACAGGGACAAAGTGGAACCCATCTGTCTGTCATTGAGACTTGTGTCAGTGTGTTATCACCCCAGGGCTCTGACTTCCGGGATGCTGGTGCCCTGCTGAAGAGCTGGTGCACTCGGCACAGAAAGTTGCTCACAAACCTGACCAAGGAATCAGAGAAGCCAAAGAAGCTGTGGGCCAAGTTGCTGCTCCAGGAGGTTTAGCAGGAGCTGGAGGAACTGGCTTCTGCCCACACCAGCAAAGTGAGCTAGCAGATCCCTGATGGTGTGAGTGAGCTGCGGAAGCACTTGACCTTACACCAGCAATTTCAATGCTGCTGTTTTATTTCCACCTTTCAAATCTCATGCCGAGTTCACTTTTGGGCAAACCTAACCCAGAATCATGCAAGGAAGGGAATTCTCGCAGTTGATACAATAAAAAGCCACCACAACATCCTCTTTTAAGTCATAACCAGATTTCACCTCATGAAGAGGCATTAAACCTCTACACAGATATGTTAGAAAGTACCAAGGACATATTTAAAATTTTTCTAGCTTCCATTGATGTGGTGTCAAAAAGAATCTCACCTGGACTTTAATACTTGGATTGCTTAGAATTATACATTGAGGCTTGTGTATAAATTAGTTACAATAGAGTTGTAACGCCAATTCCAATAGTATACTTGATTTCTCTTTTTGCTTGTTGCATCATCTCATTTATAATTACCAACTCCTTATGTCATCATATGAGCCCAAATATGAATGTTTCATAGAGTAATGGCTAAGTAATTAGGGGATTAGCTTCCTTTTGCTTCAAAGCCTGGTCACTTTACTTAAATAATTTAGGAGATTGTTGAACAATTTCTCTGCAACATAGGAAAAATGATAACTATCATTTATTAAATGTGTACCAGGTACTGTGTCAAGAACTTTCAATATGTTATCTCACTAATTCCTTATAACAATACTATGAAGGTTAGGCATTATCTCCATTTTACAGATGGGAAAGTTGAGGTGCAGGTAAGTATCTTGCCCGAGATCACTCAGCAGGTAAGAGGAGGACCTAAGATTTAACCCAGGTCTGTGTGACTCCAAAACATACGCTCTTAGCCACTCTGCCATACTACTTTAAGTTTGTCTGTAATTTAGATGGTGAGAAACATCCAAAAATCAATCAAGAAACCTAAAATTGTAACTAACTCTGGTTATTGTATCTCCCCACACACCCCACAGCTCTAACGGAGGAACTGGATTCTGTAAACAACGAGCTACATGCAATAGACATTCAAATTCAAGAACTTCAGGAAAGGCAACAAGAGCTTATTCAAAAAAAAACAGTCCTGACAAAGAAAATACAGCAGTGTTTCGAGGGTTCTGATGCTGGGGCAAGCGACAGCTGTGATTCTTCACCTGCTGCTTGGAATAAAGAAGGTTTACTCTTTTTTTTTCTTTGCTAGTTTTGTTTCTTCTTGTTTTTTTAAAACTAGAGTTAAGTTATTCTGCGTAGGCTAGTGCTTTCTCCAGCGGGCTCAGAAGTGAAACTGGCCATTCCTTCACTGGAATGGGAAACTTACAGGCAGACCATTCCTTCTTCACATTCTGTATGGAGTCTTTTTAAATTATGCTTTTATTATTCAGAAGCTTTATTTTTTCCAAATGTGGTTCTAGCAACTTTGATCAATGCTTGGGAAATAAGATATTTACTTTAACTAAATTTTCTAAGTTTTAACCAGAAAAAGAAGGAAATAAAATTATTCAAACTTCTATCAAAAATCTAGTTCATTTTCCTGCCTTAGTGGACAAACCATTCGTGATTCAGGTCTTGCCAAGCATCATGTTTATCATTAATTGTAATAGAAGGAATTGTAGTGTTTTTGTGGACATTTTTTTCCAGTGATTCACTCTTAAACAAGATGTTTAAACCAGAAATTCCAGATTTTAACTTTATTCATGATATTTGAGTTTTTATACTGTGAATTCTCTGATCAAAATTCAAGTTGTTTTTCAAATACCTGATCAAACCTCTTCCTCTTCTGTGTGGGTTAATTCTCTACTGGCAAATGTTGACCTTTTTTTCTGATGTACCATTTCTTAACAATATATCATTTGTTTTTGCTTTGTTTAGCTTAGCGAGTTAAACTAATCTCACAATTATAAGAGTTTAATGGTCCGTAAATATTTAAAATCTTAGGCCAGGCTTGGTGTCTCACACCTATAATCCTAGCACTCTGGGATGCTGAGGCGGGAGGATCACTTGAGGTCAGGAGTTCGAGACCAGCCTCAGCAAGAGCGAGACCCTGTCTCTACTAAAAATCGAAAAAAGTATCCGGGCAACTGAAAATAGAATCAAAAAGTCAGCCAGGCATTGTGGTGAGTGCCTGTAGTCCCAGCTACTCGGGGGGCTGAGGCAGGAGGATCACCCAGCCCAGGAGTTGGAGGTTGCTGTGAGCTAGGCTGATGCCATGACACTCTAGCCTGGGCAACAGAGTGAGACTCTGTCTCAAAAAAAAAAAACAAAAAAACTTAAAGTCTTATACATGTTTGTCCAATTCTTGTCTATTATAAAAGAAGCCGTTCAAGTTTGTGTCTCATTTAATAGTTCTCATTTAGTAGTTCTAGTATTTTTAGCTTATTTTTCTCTTTCTAGATTTTCCGTGGTCTGGTAAAGTGAAAAATGTTCTACAAAATGTCTTTAAACTGCAGAAGTTCAGACTGCTTCAGCTTGAAACTATTAATGCCACAATGGCTGGAAAGGAGGTGTTTCTCATTATGCCTACAGGTGGTGGAAAGAGCTTATGCTACCAGTTACCAGCTTTGTGTTCAGATGGTATGTATTAACAAAGATTAATTTAAGTTGCAGAAGTGATTTCTCATAGTTTTAATTCTTTTAAAAAATGATATCTAACCATACATATATAAAAATCAAGTGTATTTTTGGTTTATTTATTTTGTTTTATTTATTCTTCTTCAGTAGGCATTTAAAGTTTCACTTAGGGGGGAATTTTAAAGACTTTAAAGAATAATCCTTTTATCTGGTTCCTGAAACAATTAAAAAACATATTGTAGTGAACATTCAAAATTCTCTCTTCTAGGTTTTTGAAAGTATACGCTGAATTTTTGTTGACCATATTCACCCTACAGTGCTACAGAACACTAGAACTAAAAATAAAAGGGGGAACCCCCCAAAAAATGATGTAGGGGAAAAAGCACTAGAAAGGAATCCATAGACTTGAATTCTAGTCCCAGATCTTTATTAAGTGTCTGCCATGATGCTAGGACTGGAAGATACATTAGTGAGCAAAGTGGGCATAGTCCTAGTTTTCACAATCTTCATGGAGTAGAATAGTGATTTCTTAAACTTTAATGTGTGTAAAAATCACCCTGGGATCCGATTAACATGCAGATTCTGATTTAATGTGAGACCCAAGATCTTGCATTTCTAACAAGCTCCCTGGTGGTACTGATGCTGCTAGTTGGAGAGAAGCAAGGGTGCAGAGCAGGGGTCAGCAAACTTTTTCTTTTTCTTTTTTTTTTTTTTGAGACAGGATCTCACTCAGTTGCCTGGGCTAGAGTGCAGTGGCATTATCACAGCTCACTGCAACCTCAAACTCCTGGGCTCAAGTGATCCTCCTGCCTCAGCCTTATGAGTAGCTGGGACTACAGGTGTGTGCCAGCATGCTAGCTAATTTTGTGCCAGCATGCTAGCTAATTTTTCTATTTTTTGTAAAGATGGGGTCTTGCTGTTGCTCAGGCTGGTCAGCAAACTTTTTCTTAAAAAGCTGGATGGTAAATAATATGGGCTTGTGGCCTGTATGGTCTCTGTGACAACCACTCAATTCTACCATTGTAGGATGAAAGCAGCCACAGCCAGTATGTAAACAAATGGGTGTGGCTGTGTGCCATAAAAACTTAATTTACAAAAACAGGCAGCCAGCACTTAGTTTGTTGACTCCTGGTCTAAGGAATACAGGTAATTGCAAGCAATTGTACTAAGGGTTTTGCAGTAAAGGTTTTGTTAAATAACAGAATTAAGTCAGTACAAGATCTGTTCTATGGGCTGTCAGGGAATGCTGTCCTGAGGAAGTGACATTTGAGCTAAAAGCTACAGCATAAGTGGGCAAAAGGGATAGGGAAGAAGAGTGTTCATGCAGGGGAACAGCATGTGTGAGATCCAAAAGCAAGTGACCATTTTTGATATGGTACATTCAGTAACCTGGAGGAGTTCCTCTGTGGCAGTAGACATGCAGAAAGAGTCTTATTTTAAAAACTTTTCCTTAGATGAGTGGGAAGCCACTGAAGGGTTTTATACAGGTAAGAGACTTGTTATTTTGTGGGTTGGAAGGATGAGCCCAGCAGTTGGAGGAATTCCAGAAATATTTAGAAGATAGTTTCAATGGGACTTGGTATTGATTGCATGGGGGCGGGGAGTGGTGGGGAGGGAGAAGGAATAGTCAAGAATGATGCCAGAATTTTAGGCTTGGACAAATGATGAGATGGTTCACTAAAATAAGGTATATTGGAGGATGAACTTACTTGGGAATGGAGAGAGAAGGAAGGTGATGAATTCAGTTTGGGATATATTGAATTTACAATGCCTGTAGGACATCCAGGTAGAATTGTCCTGTGAGTAGGAGGCTGTTTGGGTCTAAAGCTTGGGTGTGGGAGATCTGAGTTGGAGGCCGCTAATGTGGAGATGGCCATTGAAGCCATGGAGTGAATTTTATCACCCAGAACAGCATGAAAAGAGAAGAGGGCCTAGAACAGAAACCAGAACACCAAGAGTTTAGAGATAGACAGAGAAAAAGGGGCTTACAGAGAAGGCTAAGAAGGAATAGCAACGTGTAGGAGGATAATCAGGAGAATATGGTATTATTAGAAGCCTAGAGAAGGGAGTGTTTGAAGGAGGGAGTGGTTAATAGTGATGTCTGTTGGTGAAAGTTCAAATAAAATAAGGAGTTAAAAAGTTTCATTGGGTTTAGTGACAAGGGACCCGTCTTGGCTAGGGCAATATCATTGAGATGGTTGGGTGGAAACCAAAAGCAATGGTGTGGAAGTGAGTAGGAGTTGAGGAAGTGGTACTGATGAGTATGGGATGCTCTTTGAAAAAGAATGGGCTGTGAAGGGAAGAAGAAAGGGGGCCATAAATCAGGTGTTGTCTCAGTCCATTTGTGCTATTGTAACAAAATATACTGGATAATTTATTGCTCACAGTTTTGGAAGCTGGGAAGTCCAGGATCAAGTTGCCAGAAGATTTGGTGTCTAGAGAGACCCGTTCCTCCTAGATGCCTTGCCTTCCTGCTGCATCCTCACATGGAGGAAAGGGGCAAGGGCATGCCCTTCAACTGCTTTTATAAGGGCACTGATCCCATTCATGACTTAATCACTCCCCAAATACTGTCACGCTGGGTATTAGGTTCCAACACATAAACTTCTGGGGGACACCAACATTCAGACCATAGCTGGTGTCTGAGGTTTTTTCCAAGGTGAGAGAGACTTGCCATGTTTAAATGTAATGAGTAGGTTCCAGTAACAAGGATGAAGGTGAAAATACAGGAGAGAGAATAACTGAGAGGGCAGATTCCCTGATAAGGTCTTTATTTGAGTATGTGTTTAAAACATGTCTTCCCTTTGCCAGAGGTTACTGTAAGAAGCAAACTGCAGAAATGTAAAGCCATATAATTTTAACAATGTAGAATCACTCTTGTAGCTGTAAACAATTTCAGTTATAAGTAAAGGGGCGTATTACTACAACTTTATTCAGCCAATAAACTGTTCACTGATTTGTACTCAGAATAAATAAATCTGGTAAACAAAGTGGAAGAATACTCATGAAACTATCATTCTTAATTGTACAAATTGCTCTGTTTTCTTTGAAAAGCTTTGGAGTAATTTTTTCCCTGATGTAGCTGTTTGGTATTTGACCTGATTTGTAGAATTTTACTGAGATTACCAATACTTATTATTAAAAATGATAGAAAATTAAACATTCAAAATGTTAAAATCTGTCTTTACTTTTATAGGACTGAATAAGGGTAGAGATTCCTGTTTAGTCTTATATTTGCTTATTTGGCATATGCTCACCTTGTATGGTCATTTATTCATATCTGTGTCCCTTACTAACGAGGATAAGAAGGAGGTTGTATATTGCTACAGCTGCATTGAAAATTAGTCTGAATTGACAGGTGGTGCCCACAAGTTACAGAAAAGAAGGTGAATGGTCACGACTTATTCTGGTGGTGGTGTAAAGTTTAAAGTCAATTTTTTTTTCTTTTTTAGGTTTTACACTTGTCATTTGCCCATTGATTTCTCTTATGGAAGACCAATTAATGGTTTTAAAACAACTGGGAATTTCAGCTACCATGTTAAATGCTTCTAGTTCTAAGGTATGCTTCTGAGACTTTTTTTTTTTTTATTTTTAAATTTAAACTCTTCACTGAAGTAGGAGCCTTAGCTGAAG